CGCACGTGTGTTTTTGTTTTTTTAATTTATTGGCAAGGACCGCGTTACTGCTTTATCCGGTTGACCAGTGGGAATACGCCAGTTTCAGTGCGGTTGAAAATAGAAAGTTTTTTTTTTTTAAGGCTACCATGATCTGAGACCCCGGCGGGAGGGGACGTCAGGCGGGAGGTTCTAAGATGCTCTCCGGATGAACGGCGGAAAACGGCAGCTACACACCAGAAAAATTGTGTCTGTTCCTTGTCTGTTACCTAGCATTGACCGCGCTACATCCAGGGGACCGAGCACCAGGCGGTAGTGGGTCTATGTAGCGGAACGAAGAATAGTGCGAAAACGCGTTCCTATTAGGTTAGTCCGACGCGAACGCGCGTTCTAGTCCCCGGGATCCGTCCCCCCCAAAGACGAAGAAGGGGTATCATGTGTGAGATGGAGGCGTGCTTGCGCAAGTATGTGTTTTGGGTTGCGCTGCCAGCGGTCTCTTTTTGTTTAGAATGCTTGGTACTCACATGGCCAACGCGCAGACAGCCTCGCACGACTATTTACAGCAGTACCGCCAGTACCGCCCGTAAACAAGCGGACCGCAATGTCTCTGCGTGTTCTTGGTTGCCACATCCAAAAATACGTATGAAGAAAAGCTTTCCAACAAACAAGCAAGGTTCTTGCAATTGGTAAAATAGACACGAACAACTCAACTGATGTGCCCGAACCCGAACCCAACCGAATCCCGGCAGGCTTCAGGGAGACAACGTTTCGATGAACGTCATCATGTCCCCGCTGTGGGCGGTCGACCTCGTCCTCATCCTCGCCCCCGTGGGCATGGCCATCGCCGTGGCGGTGCGAAGGATGCAGCGCGGAGAGCCCGTGGAAGCTACGCTGGTGAGCACAACAACAGTAGCGTAAGCGTGACGTCAAAGGGAGGTTGACCGTTGGAGACAGCGGTACCCCGTTAACGGAGGGACTTGTCGGAATTCTTTCTACAGCGCGAGAGTCTAGGGAAGGCTGCGGGATTGTAGCTGTCTCGAGCCTATTTGCGCCCCGCCGCACCCTCCCGACGTGCACCTAACGAAAACCACCCCCATCCATGTACATCCATCTATCACGCATATCTAGGTCCACACCCTGGCCGCGTCCTGGTGCCTGCTGACGCCGGTCCTGGCGCCCGTGGTAGCCTTCGAGATCGCGCTGGCGGTGTACGTGGAGGGGGAGCGCGACACTCTCTCCGCCGCGGAGGTGTTCACCCCTCTCATCGTCTGGTGCTGGTGAGTTGAGACCAGTTCAATCACAGGTCCGAAGCCGTTCCAACCAAGCCCTACCCCGGACGACGATAAAGCGAGCGTGTTGAGTTGTGCTTATTTATTTATTACTAGAAGGTATTTTTGGGGGGGGGGGGCATTGTTTCATATGCGAGAGGGCAACGGTGTTTTCTGCTCGTTCATGCCGAAACAAAGCGCGTACAAGAGCAGGGCCGGTGGATGGTAGGTCAATACGAGCATCATGCCTGTTTTCGAGGGGGGGGGGGAGGGGTACTCACAGTCGTGCATGCCTTAGTCGTTAGACCATTGACCTCGCATCCCTACAAAGCCGGGACGGAGCACGCCGGGTTCTCACCGGACCAAGCTCTCACATCACCAAGCGCGAAGCGCCGTGAGGTATTCAGCGAGTCGCATGAAGGGTGCGCTGCATCCAGCTACGGGTGTTCGGCATCTTGTGCTTACTTCCCTGCGTACGGATGACAGCTGCGAATGACTTGATTTATTTCTGGTGCTTTCACTTCCAGTGACGGTTATAAGCACTGCTGTGTATCTGGCTTGAGGGCGCTTGACCAATTCACACCACATGGTGCGATCATCCCCTTTGCGCGGAGTGAGAGTACTCGACCCCGCACAATATAATCTACTCGACCACCATTTGCTATGGTCACCGCAAAAAAAAGGAAAGCCAGAGGCAATAAAAAAAAAGTGGTAACCTGGTGGCCGAGCTCACGAAGTGATCGGCGGCTTGTTTTACAACGTTGTTGCCTAGCGGCGAAAACCCAACCCTGATGGCAAATACCGCGGGGGGAGTTTTTTTTGTTGGAGGGGGGGGGTACCTATGCTCTCTCCCTCACTATTATATTCTCTCTCTCTCCCTTCTCGCATGTCCGCTCAACGCCCACCGCTTCGAACATTTTCGCTCTATCCCCGCATCCCCGCGCGCACGCAACACAGCGTGCTGTCGCTGATCCTGTGCGGGTACGCCTGCTCCTACCCCCCGCGCCACCCGGACCCTCAAGACGGCGGCAGCGGCGGCGGCGGCATCGGCCAAGACAGCGGCCATGGCGGCGGCGGCGACAATGACGATACAACGCCTTCTTCCTTCGCCCCGACCCCCCTGAGGGCCTTCGCGACGCGCCTGCCCCGCCACACCGCATCGGCTTCCGTCGGCGGTCTTGGCAGCGGCGGTGGTGGAGGAGGAGGAGGAGGAGAAGTAG